CTCTTCTGGACAGAGAGCTCTGATGCTGTTCCTGGGATCTGTTGGAGCCCCTCTCCCAGCTTAGGAGTCACAGCCCCCAGTGCTCCTACCACCACTGGGGCCCCTTTGTCCTTGACTTCCCACATCCTCTCTAGTTCCTCCTTCAGGCCCTGGTCCTTCTCCAGCTTCTCATACTCCTTCTTCCTGAAGTTGCTGTCACTTGGCACTGCTTCATCTATCACTACTGTTGTCTTCTGGTTCTTGTCTACTACCACAATGTCTGGTTGATTGACTAGTACCTGCCTGTCTGTCTGGATCTGGAAGTCCCATAGGATCCTAGCCCTGTTATTCTCTGTTGATTTTTATCAAATATATATCTTAAGCTCAAAATTGAAATGTTTCTTCAATGTATATGACCACCAACTTGCCAGGCAACTCACACAACAACAAGAACAACGACAATTTATTAAACTTGTATGCTGCCTGACTCCCAGTGACTCTGGGTGGCTCACAACAAGCAAAGAAAGAAATTACAATAAAACCGATAAAACAGAAAAGATAAAGATAAAAGATGGCAACCAGGACAGACCAGAGGGAATGAAGCCAGAGGTCTCAAAACATCTTGTGAGACCTCGTGCGGGACCATTGAAACTTGCAAGATTTTGGGCAACTGTGGAGACATCAGGGGAAGCAGGGCTGGAGAATGCGGCAACGGCACCCTCACCCTTCTTTCCTTCCTGAGCTCTGTGCCAAGATTGTGAGTCAGGCTCACCCCATGCCCACATACAGCTCTGTAATTAAAATGGCAACATACTTACGCACACAAACAGGAGTCTTTCCGGACCAGCGGTGATCTTGTTGGCAGATGCGGACAGACATGCCAATCAGCCGGAAACCAGGGTTGCACTGGTACACCACACTGCCACGGTAGTTGTAGTTCTCACCATTTATCTGGCCATTGACAATGGAGCCTGGTTCGCCACAGTGACCCGCTGGAGGGACAAGAAAACAGGCGGAGGGGGAAAAAAGGTAGAACTACTGATAGTCCAATACAGGACAAAGCCTTCCAGTGAACCTATCACCCTTAGGAAAAGTACTCCAAATTCCACCAGGACATTTAAAGCCTTTGGGAATAGGTTGAGAAAAGAGGAAATAGGCATTTGTGGATCTGAAAGCAATGACTTGATTTGGGGAGCTGGTTGCAGAAATGGGGGATATGAGGCCTTTCTAAGTTCTTGGATCACAGCAGTGCTCTCTATGGCTGATGGAAGTTGCAATTCAACTACATCTGGAAGGCAGTATGTTGCCCACCGCAGGCCTAGAACAGCCTTCCCTAACTGGAATATGTATTCTCCAAATGTGTTGGGACTATAATCATGTGCTGGACGTGTGAAAAAAAAAGAAAAAAAGGATGAGGGGGCTTTTTATCATGCATGGTGGACTTGTGAAAAAGCAAAAAAGAAAAAAAAAATGGGTACAAATTCATACAATAATGTAAAAGATATTACGGACCAATATCATGATGAAACCAGAATGTTTCTTACTGGGTTTTATGGACAAGGAATTAGTAAAGAAATATGGTAAATGAATATTGCATCTAATAACTGCAGCAAGATTATTGTATGCAAAAAGTTGGAAAAGCAATGACATGTCTACAGTGGAAGACTGGATCGTAAAATTAATTGAACTTGCAGAAATGGTGAAGGTGACCAGTTTGGTCAGAGAAAAAACGATAAAGAATTTTTTAAAAGACTGGAACCCTTAGATGGACTTTTTGCTGAAAGAAGAAAAGCATGAATTGGTGATTTGGGGATTTGGGGATTAAAAAGGAGATGAAGAGGTTGGGGAAAAGTTTCAGATGACAATTACTCGATAGAAAGAGGGCTGGAAGGCACAATTGCATGTTTTTTCCTTCTCTTTTTTCAATTTCTTTCTTGTTTCTTTCTTATTTTCTATCTTTGTTTTTCTTTGTTTTGTATGTTTTATTACAATGAAAATTTCCAGTACACACACACACGCACGCACCCACATCCGTACCCCAAATGTGGCTAGAAATTCTGGGAGGCATATTCCCAGCACATCTGGCACCAGTTTACAGAAGGTTTGCCTAGATGCTAAACAGCACAGTCTGAACAGCGAGGTACAGAAAAGAAAAACGATTTAACTACTATAGAGCTCTGGTTTGCTTGTATCTTGTGAAAACCTAGGAGATTTTTGAATTATCATATTTGCAAGAGGACCGTTTATTTTTAGAAAAGACATTTAAGCCAGGGATAGGCAACCTTTTAAAATCCAAAGGGGGGGGGGAACAAAATGGAAATTCATATTCTCACTGAGCTAACCAATTACTGTATCGATATACATTTTGTGCTCTACTTGCACATGTAACTCAGTAGGGTATGCCCTCAGGGATGGGAGATTTTACTATTTAAAGAGGAGAAAAATGAACGTTTCTGGTACTCTTGTCAGATGATTCATTTCTACTTTCTGGGGAAAAAAAGAAAAAGAAAGAAATTCAGCCAAGAAAAAAGTCCAGTGAACTCAGAGGCATCTTCAGGGGAGTGAAAAATGTCGAGATGGGGGTCTTGTGGTCAAAGTCCTGCTCCTTTTTTTATGAATGTCACATGCATGACACACACAAAAAGGGGTGCAGCTTTGATTGCATTGTGTGGCCATCATCTTGAATTTTTTTTATCCCCCCAGACATCTCTGAAAGAGCTTGTCCCCCCATAGTTTATATTGGCATCATCTCTGAATCTCTTGGTGTGACAAAAGAGATTCCTCTTTCTTTAAATGCGTGGTGGGTTGACATTGCCAAGACTCATTGCTATAGTGGGTGAAAAATCTTACAAATATCTAAAAAGCTAATAATAAATTGAAAAAAAAGATATAGTAAATTAGATCAGGATTCCAAAGATGGCCTCAGGCAAATCCAACAATGCGAGAGAAATTCAAGAATCTTTGTATGTATTGAACGGTTATAAAACAAGAAAGCAGGAAGAAAGACATCATGAATTTATTACGGTTTTCATTAATTCTGTTTATTAAGACTATTCAAGAAGCTTTCCCAGCTGAAACTGATAATGAAGGAGTTATAAAATACAATACGGTTTAATTTAACCGAAAGCAAAATAAAAGATACTGTACTTTTGGTAGAAAGAGGCCTACACAATACAGTATTTCATTCTGCAGCAAGAAGAAAAAAGAAATGATGATGCCATGACATACAAATTAAAAGCAGCTGATTAAAACTGTCCCTTATAAATTAATCAACCGAAATTGTAGTGGATTAATCCACGGCTTTCATTTGACCTTGCAGCCCTAGTTCCAGCACTCTATAAATAGGGATGACAGAAACATACCCTGAATGGCTTTCTGGTCTGCTATTTGGGGCTATGGATGACCCCCACCTTATCAAGTCAACAGTAGACAAATACTCACCCAGGCATGTCACTTCTAGTCCACTCCAAAGACCATTTGCCATACACTCTCGCACACGAGAGCCCACCAAGGTGTAGCCACTATTGCAGGAGAAGATGGCAGTAGCTCCATAAATGGTTAAGGTCCCAATCCTGTTTCCATTGGATGGCACGGGCAAATCTCCACAGGAGATTACTAAAATTGAGATACGCACACACAAACACAAACTTTTTGACTTAGAATATCTAGCAAAGGACACAGGGAGAGAGAGCGAATTCTGACAAAGGAGAGTTCACTGTCTCTTCAGACTTGGACATGCACGTAACAGTAAGTTGTAGTTTTGTTCAATCACCCTTTGTTCAATTTACCTCAAGCGGCTAGTTTTGTAGAACATATTATGGGAGGCTTCACAGTACTCACCAAATCATAGCAAGCATTTTAGTGCATTGTGAAGAAATGGCCAACATTTGTTGAGCGTGCACCTCCTAAACCCATGTTTGTGGCTTCCCAAATATCCCACCCCAAAACCAGATGGCTTTACAGAACTTTGGCAACAAAATTGAGACTTGAGGCAGTATAATATTTTTAAAGAAAAAATTAGCCGTAAAATTGGTGTGCTAGGTTCTATTAAGTGATACACACATCTCCAAGAACTTACTCTGGTAGCTTTTCCAACCCTATAATGGTTTGGGAACTGAAATAGTTCCTGGTAAAATACTTGTATATATATTTATTTCATTTTATTTTATTTGTATGTTACCCGTTCCCAAAGCCTGTGGGAGGCTAACAATCTCATGATAATGTAAAAAAGAATAGCCACAAAGAAAAATACCTCCCCCCCCATATGCATAAAAACAACACGTTCACAATATGCATTAACTCCTCCCCTCCACCCCAAAATACATAGGTTATATGCTTGCAAATCTTATCTTTGATCATAAGATACCCTCCTCCTGTGCCAAATGGAACAGGTAGGTCTTGATCGCTTCCTGAAAGCCAGGAGGGATGGAGATGACCAGAACTCCAAGGGAGTTCTGAAGTGGGAACAGCTATTGAGAAAAACCTGCTTTCGGGGCCTTGTCAGGTGACAGTGTCATAAAAATGGAACCTGAAGGGAGTTGACCCTATTTGACTTGATCAGATGAGCAGATGAATACAGGAGAAGGTGAATCATAAGATAACCCAGTTTGGAGCCATGTAAGACCTTAAAGGTGAAAAACAGCATCTTGAGTCACACTCAGAAGCCAATGGCAATTATTGCAGCTCCCAAAGCAGTGGGGTCACCCAAGTATATTGGGACACACCTGTCACTGCCCAGGCCATCACATCCTATACCAGCTGTAGCTCCTGAGTGCTCTTCAAGGGCAGCCCCATGCAGAGGACCCTACAGTTATCCAAACAGGAGGTGACTAGGGTATGAATGACTGTGAGTAGAGTCCCCCTCATCCAGGAATGTCTGCAATCGGTGCACAAGATGTTATTGTGTGAAGGCTTTCCTAACCACAGCTGCCATCTGCTCATCTAGCAAGAGCTGTAAGTCTAGGAGGACCCCAGATTGTGGACAGCTTCTGAATGGGGGAGTAGAACTCCTTTCAGAGTCAAAGACAGGATTTCCCTGGAATCATTAGGCCTATGGGCCCAAAGCCACTCTCTCTTGAAACTCCTTGGGATTCAAGGAGTCTGTTCCTCCCCTTCCAGGCATGGGAGCCTCCAGGCACAAGGTGAGCACTTCTACCAGATCACCTGTTTGGCCCAGGGATGAGATGTATAATTGGGTATGAACAACATGACTGATGGTAGCAAATGCCATGTTGATGAATGACTTCTAGCAATTTGGAAAAGAAGTGGCAAAGGAAGAGAGCCCTAAGGCATTCCACAAAGTGAAAGCCTCTGGGCAGAGCCTCCCTCATCCCATCCCTGCACAGAAACTGTTCCTTCAGGAAGGAGAACCACTGCAAAACAGTGTTCTGCACTCAGAAATGGTGCAGGAGGATACCATAGCTGATGGCATCAAATGATGCTGAGAGATCATGGAGGACCAGAAGGGCTGCACTCCCTTGATCTCAGTCTCTCCACAGATCATCCCCAAGCATGAACCATGCAGTTTCCATGCTGTATCCTGGCCTGAACTGTGACTGCTAAAGTTCCAAATGATCTGCTTCCTCTAGGACTTTCTGGAGTTGTAGGACTGCCACTTTCTCTATAATCTTTCTTAAGAAGGGAAGGTTGGAGACAGGTCTAACTTCATCCAGAACATCAGACTGAATGAAGCCTTCTTAATCAGGAAGTGTCCCATAGCTTCTTTCGGAGGTGAGGAAAATACCCTTTCAAAGAAGAGCTGTTCAAATCTAGCCTTCTGTCACCTCCTAGGAGGCCTTAACCCACTATGAGGGGCAGTGTGATGGAATGGAGTTATGAAGGCCATGCTCAGGGAGATAAGCGTGTCCTTAGCCCCCAGCAGGAGCATGGGAAGTTTAAGAAGATGAGACTGGCATCACCTTAAGGAATGCACGGTGTTGTGGCTTGCTGGCTTGGGAACTTAGGTTCAGTCTGGAGAGATTTCTGTCTTGAGGTGAAAGCTAATAAACGCAACAGAACTGTATTTTCATTGTCTCTTGGAGTTCTTTGGGCTGAACCTGACAGGCAGGGATCCAACTGGGAAGCAGCAGAGTTAGCACCATACAGTGCATTACCTGCTTCCTCGAGGCTCAGAAACTCAAATTGATGCCAGATCACTTCATTAGACAAAGCCACAGTCACCTTTAGCATTTTATTCCATATGTTCCATTTATACTATCATTATATAATTATACTAAACATTGATACAGATACTGTTATCCTCCCAGGCGCACACCCTGTAAGATTCCTCTTGATTTCTCATTCCTGAAATGCTCACTTACTTCTACAGATTGGCATGGGTTCTCCTATGCTCCATTTCCCACTGGCCTGGCAGCTGATGACACGGTACCCAACGTAATAATAGCCTGGGTCGCAGATCAACATAAGTTGTGCATTGTACTGATACTGGGTCTCATGGATCAGCCTCCATCTCCCATGTTCCACAGCAATGCTGCTGATGTCAGGACAGCTGACCGCTGGATATGCCAACAGATGAAAACAGAAACAACCCATGCCTTTATAACATTAAAAACAGCCAAACTAAAGGCCCACTCAACTGGCCGCTCTAGCTGAGAATGGCCAGCTAAGCGAAAGCTACAAATAAGATGAGAAAGTTGCATTTGTCATTGTCATTATACAGTCTGAACTGTATTTGTTCTAAACCAGTGGTCACCTGAAAATGGCCCTGAATTTGTCACAAAGCTGAATGCAGTTAGGATACAAACCCTCGATGCAACATTGAATGATTTCCAAACAATGTGGAAGATGAAACCCTGATAACTAAATGGGCTGTCAGTATCTATGGTGAGGACAAACAGAAGGGAAGGGAAGTCTATTAAAGGTGTTTAACAATGTCAGCTAGAAATGGAACCTCTACCTCCTGAGATAACACATACTTGCACATCAGATAATAGAGATAATCAATATAGGAAGAGTTACATCCGCATGGGGAGTTCTGTCTCAGTGCATCTACAGAACGGCCAGAGCTGGGTAGAAAAGTGCCTTTCAAATTGCTCCACCAAAACTATGGGCAGAGTATCTGGGAGGCTGATTTCTTTGAATTTCTCAGTTTCTCGAGGCAGAATTTCCTTCACTAGGAGGGTAACAGCCCAACTGAAAAAGTCCAGCAGGAGGAGTTCCCTCATGAGATCTTTGTTTGGATTTGAACAAAAGAGGAATATTCATCCTTGGCCCTGCAGAAAAGAAGACTTGGGTTGCTATGCCTCATTTCTCATTTCCCAGGAAGCACTGGACTAACCTCTGTGGTTGATGGAACAGTCAGTTAGGTGGATTTTTAAATCCAACACAATAGGCTCCTGGTTGCTTTTTAAATGATTCTGGATGCTTATTAAGATGAATGCGTCATTCTTAAAAAGAAACAAAGAACATGAAAGATTGAAGATAGTCCACATTACACTCACCTACACATGGAAGAGGATTATTGCTATTGCTCCACTGTCCATTAGCCAGGCACTCCACACTGGAGTTCTCTTGGGCCTGGAGGTGAAAGCCCTCCTTGCACTGGTAAACTGCTTTGCTGCTCACGGTGTACTCCTTGCCAAAAACAACCCCATTCTTCGGTGCTCTGGGGATTCCACAGGAGATTGCTTGGAAGGAAAAGTCAAGACACGTGATTGCTTGCATTCACACAAAGTCTTTGCTTCTCTAGTTAGTGGTGTTCCTAAATCAACCTGTTTTCATGGTCTTCAACCTTCCCTATCCAATGCATACAGAGCAGCATTCACAGTAAACCATAATGATGCCCAAAGGACATGCACTTTAGGACATTACACAAATGCTGCAATAATATATTTGCATCTTGCTGACTGATGCAGGTACAAAAGTCAGGGTGGTATATGCATAATGACGTCATCACGCATGTGTTGTGATACATCCTTGTCACCACACGTCATGATGGATCCTTTGCCTTCCCCAACCTCCAAAGGCCCCCCATATACTTCCCCAACCTCCTCATGTCTGTACAAGCATATTATTTGAATTTCTCTTTGCAAAACACACAAACACACTTCAGTGTGACTTCTTCCAAATGAGCCAGCCACAAAGGTATATGAATAAATACATAATCCCCAAAGAGGAACAATATGTGGACCAGGAAGCCAGCTAAATTGGGACGCGGTGGCGCAGCGGCTTAATGACGCTAGCCATTAGTTGCTGGCCAGAAATGGCTGACC